CCCTGGTGGGCGCGCGAGCTCGGCTCTCTCTGGGCTGAAGGCACTGTCGTTTTCCGCGAATCGCTGAGTGTGTTTGAGAGAGAGAGATTTAAAAACAAATTCCCACTTCTTAGTCTTCCTCATTTCCTTTTTTTTCTTGTGTTTGCTGTGTCTTTTTTCTCCCCCTCTTTTTGGAGGGTTTCGGTGTTGCATTTGTTCGTAGGTGCCGCATTCTTGGTTCTGCCCATGCGGTTTGCGTGGCGGCCTCCTGGCGTTGCCTCGTTGGGTGCGTGTTGCTGCAAGTGGCGCATTTCCTCTTCATTCTTTTTTTTTTTTTNTTTTTTTTTTTTTGGCTTCGCCCCTTTTGGCTGCCTCTATCGTATTTGTTACATACAAGGTGCCAACGAGAGAATAGGTGTGGTGGCGAGCAGATGCCATCCGAGGCCTCCTTCTACTTCTTTTTGGGAGCCCTCACCGTCGTCCTCAGCAGCCTGTTGTTTGCGTCGGAGGCGTGGATGCACCTCGATGATGTCTTTGGTGGGGATGGCCAAGGGGGCCACCTGAGTGTTCTGCGCAATGGCGAGCCCGCGCTTCTTGGCTCTGTGATTGGCGGGGCGGCCCTGTTTTCCACAGACGCCTTGGCGAGGGATGGCGGTGCCGATGTCGCCGAGTCTTTGGCGAACACCGCAGCAGCCTCGAGCAGCAGCAGCGGCAGCACATTCAATGCCAACGGGTCGGTGGCTGTCGTCGTGCTGGGTGTCGCGTCGCTGCCGGACGGCATCATTACGAGTGCGTTCAAGCAGCGACTACTGCAGGGCGTCCGCGTGGCGTTGTTGACAGGGTCCCCGTGGGTCGTCGTCCCCTGTGGGCTGGAAGAGCGCAGAAATGCCGAAGACTTCCTTTGGGGATTGCAGCCCCCCGGCGAAGCGCTCTTCCCCGACGCCGTTGTGACGATGATGCCGCCGTCACTGCAGGGGCTTGCACGGCAGATTCGGGACTCGATGGCCTTCGAGGCGTCGTTGAAGACTTGGATGCAGCGCGGACGGATAATTGAGCGCCTATCGGATGCTCTCTATGCTGATGCCCCTGCCGCCGACACAACAACAACAACAACAACCTCGACGGCCGGCGAGGATATGTCCTCACCGCGTTTGCTGCGTTACGGATCCTCCGAGTGGATCCTCCCAGGCATTGTGTGGGGGGAGGTGGACCGTTCGCGAGACACTGCGACAGTTACAGAAGCGATGCGAGCTGTGGAATTGCTGGTGCGGCGTATCTTTTACGTTCATCTCTACGATCAAAAGGAGAATATACAGAGGCAGCCGGTGGGTGAGCCGGCGTGGCTTCAGAACGACTGCTTTAGTGTCATCGTGGTGGGCAGCATGTACAATGAAAGGTACATGAGGGCTATCTTTTTGAAGGAGATGCGTCGCGTCTGGCGTTTGCCGCCTCCAAACGGTGCTGCACCGCGACAACCCATGCGGGAGCAGCAGCAGTTTTCACCATCGGTGTTGACAGCGGAGTGTGTGCGTGTGCTAGTCACATCTGCAGACGACGCCGAGCCTGCGTTGTTTTTGCCGTCACCTCTGTTCGTCCGTGGACCTCCGTCGTCGCAGTTCAGTCCGAGGTCTAGTGCGTTGGCGCGTTTCCTCGGTGTGTATGCTCACACAATACACGTGAATTATCAGCGGTGGCTAGCGTGTCTGCATTGCAGTTTGGTCTCGCATAGGGCATTAAGCTTCGTCAATGAGCTGTTCGTTCTCCTTGGTTCACTCGTCACCGAGACGCTTTCCCTGCAGGACTTCACGCAAACCACCCTTGTCCGACGGCGAGCGACGGACCATTGAAGGGTGAGGGGGGAACAGAAGAGGTTGGAAGGAGGGGCGGGGGGAAGAGAAGGATAGAATGATGAACAGAATAATTCCCGAGTTGTGCGGGTCTGCTGCATGCGTCTGCTTGCCGCTGTTCTCTGGGCGATAGAGGGGATGTGGCTGCCACTGCTTTTTTTTCCCTTTCACCACCTTTTTTTTTTCTCCTCTGCTTTGAAAATCAATATTCTGTTGTTGTTTTTGTCCCCCCACTTCACAACAATGAACTAAAACAAAGAGCCCAGCACATGCAGCTCGCGGAGGAGCTTAAGCGGAAAGGAAACACGTCCTTTGCCGATGGGGACGTGGAGGGGGCGGTGACGGCGTACCTCCAAGCCATCGAGGTCATTACACGCGAAGAAAAAGACGACAGTGGCGCTTTCATTGACGGTGCGCGGGAGTTGCTCGCCGTGCTACACTCAAACCTGAGTAACGTGTACCTCATCCAGGGACGCTACGATAACAGCTGGGAGGCCGCACAGGAATCGACGCGTCATGACCCGTCATTTGCCAAGGCGTGGCTACGGTACGTGCATGCGCGCCGACTGGCCGGATACCCCTTCGAGGCCTTCGTGGCGCTGCTGCGGTACCTCCGCCCGCTGCTGCGGCGCCAGGCGATGTCCTCGTCCTCGGTGGCGGAAATTAGGGTCAGTGAGGTGGAGGCACCGCTCTGTAGGGATCTTGGACTCTCAGATGTCTCTTCCCACATCGAGTTGCAAGACTACAAAGGTGGTGTCGGTATTGTCGCACGCAAGATGATCAAGCCGAACGATGTCATTCTTGTGGAGAAGAGGTTTGAAACATCCTTTGCGGAGATGGACTTAGGGACGCAGGCCGACTTAACGACAGTTAAGATTGTGACGTACTTTGCAAAAAAGATTTTCCCAGAACAGCAGACACGCTCAGAGAAGTGGATGCGCTACAACAAGGAATTCAAAGGTTGCTGGCCGCGGTCTCTAGAGGATATAACCTCAGAGGCGCGAGGTGAAATCGCCCACGCGCTGAGGGTGCATTTCCCTGAGATGAACGACAAGGACTTTGAGGAATTACTTTCCTTTGCAGTCATGTGCCGCTATAATTGCTTTCACTCCGGTTTCTTTCGTGCATGCGCGTTGGCAAACCACAGCTGCCATGCGAATGCAGCCATGAAATTCTGTCCAGAAAGTGAGACGGTGACGCTCATTGCTGTGCGCACAATCGAGGCGGGGGAGTTTGTGAATGTCAAGTACCTTAGCGACGCACACTTTCTCATGGGTCTGGGAAGACGGCGTGAATGCCTCCGTTCGTGGCTCTTCTGGTGCGAGTGCGACCGCTGCTGCTCAGACAGCAAAAGCACAGCTACACAGGAGCAGGTGCAATGCCGCGAGTGTCAACATTACACACACCTGCCGTTGCCAAGCAGCGACACAGACACAGGGGAGGAGGACCCACTCACACCACAGGAGAAGCCGTGCACTCATTGCGGGGCCATCGTCACGTGGTCGCCAGAGTCGCGGGCGGCAGTGACACGCTTGATGCTGGCGTTTGGCCAAGTAAGCATGTGTGCACCGTGTCAGCAGCTGACCTCGTGGCTTGTGGCGAATCTGCGACAAATCGCCGAGCTGCACGTGCACCCCGACCACTGGATGTACCGCGTTTTGCTGTACTTTTTCTGTGTCCCGATGACATCTATTGTAAATAAAAATTTCGAATTATTTAGCAAAGTGGGCTGGCAAGAGTCTCAGGTGGAGCTGCTGCTGCGCGATTTCGGCGTGCGTCGCACTTACGCAGACGCCATCACCAGTAGCCGCACTATTGGGGGCCGCGATGGTGATGGCGAGGATCGTGGTGCTGGTGGTGAAAGTGCAATGGAGGAGAATATGGGCGGCGGTGATGTGTTGTACGCACTGTCTGTGCTGTGGCGCCTTATATCTCCCTTTTACCCAGAGTACGAGGGTTGGGCTCTGCATCGCGCCATCTGTCAGCTTGTGCTGTTCTCACACATTCATCCGAGTGAGACGTTGGCAATGTCTGCCTCTCATGTGTTGCTGCTGCTGCGCCGACACGGCAAGTACATTGGAGACGCTGATGCATCGCTGTGGCTTCAGGCGTATAACCAGCACAAACCGACGGGTCACCGCAAAGGATTGCTGAACGCTAAGCAGCTCAAGGGCGCATTTCGACCATGAATTTGCAATAAAGGCCGAAACACACCTGGATGGAGTATAAAGGTTGGGTGGTGCTTTTACTGGGCTTGTGGGGCGCTGCGTGGGGCGTGCCTGTACAAATTTGTTTGTTTTCCCCTAACCCACCCACCCACCCACCCACACACACACACA